GGCAGGCAAGCAAAACAACTGAGTCACATATCCAGTCAACCCACAGCGCTCACACGAGCCAACCAATCGGACACACATCCAATCAGCCACTCACGTCACATGTCAGATCGATGGTGGAACGCCGAACGGACACGCACACGCGCAAACTCTCTGACACACCGAAGCAGCTACTACAACATCGGACTTCCAATACGGCCCTTTTAAAATGATTTCCCACCATTCTAGTAGCAACAGCTAATGTAGACTGATCTTTCCCTTCCCGAAACTTCAGGAACGTGTATAGATTTTTACAAAACGATATAATTTAGTCAGTGAAACACCGAACTACGACATATTCTGCGAAATTAGCTCTTCTGGAGAGTGTGCACGGCCACTGGCGTGATGTTGGTAAGCCAATTGTCAAGGACGGCGACCATACTAACTATCTGAGCTTCCAATATTTTGACACGTTGGTAAGCAAACAAACTTGGAGACTATGTTGATTTGGATGCACGAAAAGTTACGAAAATAAATCATGAAACAAACGAAAACAATTACAGACTCACTTTCACCATGTATTCCATTCGGCTGTGTGCGTGCTTTTCGATGATAGCCTCTACCCATATCAAGGGTTTCACCTAAAACGTACGGAGACAAAGATTGTTTCGGAAAATATAAAATCTACAGAGCCACGAGGAGCTGATTACGCAGCACCAAAAGAACACCAGAACTTTGAGAGAAGGAACCGGTGGATGCCATCACAAAGGGTTACCGTACCTTCTGCTATTCAGAACAGATGTATAAAACAAAAAGGCGGTTAGAACGTCTAGAAAACTTGAAATCGTGAAAGCAAACAAATCTACCCAGCTCTGCAATGACGTGGTTATTAAAAGCATGTGGCAAGCAGTTCGCATCAATATCGTATTCAGCGTCGTTATCCGCACTGAGAATCGACTCTAAATTTACCACCTAACTGTGCTTCCTCTGGGCTTAGTTGTCCAAATTGGACATTCATTTCACCCGCTAGGACTACAATATCCGTCCTTCTTGCTGACCAAAGCAGTCGCGTTAGATCCCAGTCTCAGGACTGCTGTCTGTCTGTCTGGGAGTATACCGACACGACACCGATTACCCCGCATCAACCCGCACTGGTCTTAATTGAGCCAGACAACCGCACAGCGCAAAAACGACCGTTTAATGGGATCCAGTCCAGTAGGCGCTTCCGGCTTCGGAGGTGAGTGCAACTCAAGTACCGTAGATACAACGAGCCATTGCGTCAGGTTCACCAGATACCCGAGCAGTGGAATCTGGAACATCGGAGCTCGTCCAAATCGACTTGAGGCGCATGACCGAAGTGGGGTCCTGTATGCGTGTTTCGGAGACAACATAAAAACATAACATACATCAACAGGTAGGGAAAGCAAGGTTTCAACAACGGATGTCTGTTGTCCAATTCGACATGGAGTACGGACATTAAAGGCTGAAAAGTGAATAAGATCTTTTGAGGTTAGTGGTTATTTTGGTTTATTTTTCTGGGCGACGGTTTCGATACGAAATATTGGTGGGGGCTGGTAAATACGTTGATTGCACTGCATCGTTTGAGAGTGCAGCGGGAGACTGGTGGGTGAAGAACTGCAAGGGTGAATGAAACTTCCCGGTTGCCCAAGTCGAAGAAGGGGGTTTGGTTGGGGTACCCCACCATGAGTCTTCGACTGGGTCTACCTTACAAGGCAGACATTGTTAGAATTTTCTTGGAGGACGCTTTCCGGGGCCGATGACTCAGTAGTCTGATCCACTTGGTCGCAGAGAGCGGGTCTGACCCGAGGACGCAGGGACTAAGGCATAAATTCCTGACGGCCATGAACTGAACAGAGGTATGATGCCAACAACAAAATATACCGAAAAATTCATGATTGGATTCAACAGGTCTGTTTCACATTGTTGCTTTCAAAATCTGTACGCCATATCAAATGGGCCAACAGGTAGCCTGTGCTTAGACCCCGTTCTACTGTTAAAGTGAGGTGTGTTGTCTCCAAAACATAAAGACAAGACCCCAGATCGGTCATTCATATCAAACCGCTACGTGTAAAGCCAGATTTCTCGCACTTTGCAGTTTTGGTGTCTAGTGATCCTGATGCCATGGCTCGTGGTATGTATGCCCTAGCAATTGTGCTTGGTCCCAGGACTGAATGGGACGGCAACCCCGAGGTGGGGAAACAGATTCTACCGAGATTCGCCATGGTTACCTCAGCATTCGAGAAATACAGAGATACCTATTCTGACAAACATCATCATCATCATCGTCAAAGACGGCAACATCAGTGCTGGCACTGATGCATCACTGCCCTAGGGTGAAAGGAAGAGGAAAAGTGGGTGAGGGAGGGGACCTAGTGCTAGCCTATGTCAAGCATTCTGAGGTGCCTACACCTCCAACCGCTCAATCAGACAATCTGGAAAGAAACTGACAGCACGAACGCAACTGACATCGATTAGCCACCATTTCTTGCAAAGTCCTCAGCCAAGCACAGACATGGTCACGGGGACCCCATCCTGGAAGGCGTACAACACCAGCAACACCCAAGCTCTTCATGATCTCTTTCACACTTTTCTGCCAAGTCATGTGCTGTCCACCTCGCGGTTTGCGCCATCCTGAAGGAGGTACAGAGAACAACACTCGTCTCTGCAGACGGTGTTTCGGCATTCGTAGCACATGACCGAGTCATCGTAGTCGATGATGCTGGATGTTTTCTCGGATTGAAGTGCATGCAGCACAACCAAATACACATTTTCTAATCACCTCGTTACTAACACGCTGACGCCATCCACAACCAGCCACGCTCCTGAGGCATCGGTGGTCGAAAACCTGAAGACGCCTCATATCACCTGTCCGCAGAGGCCATTTCTCGCACCCATACAGCAACACAGCCCTTACTGCACACACGACCCTTAAGATCCAGTGAAATGCCTTTTTGACGCCACGAGTGACGCAAATTAGCAAACGTGATTCGATCCTTTGAGATTCTTGCACTGAATTTATCAGACACACTTCCGTCAGAGCTAATACAACTACCGAAATATGTCAAGTTTTCCACAATCTCCAGTGGTTCTACTTGCATTGTAAGGGACAAGTTCGCAGACGGCACGTTCTGAAGTATGACTTTGCACTTTGAAGGTGCGAGGCGCATGTCAAAAGATGGAACGATGGTGGTCAGTTTATTCAACAGAGCTTGTGCTTCGCTTTGGCCTTCAAAGATGAGGGCGATGTCATCTGCGTACTACAGACAGACAAGGCTCTCACCAGCAACAATTTGAACACCGGGATTTTGAAGACCGCCCAGTGTTCGCCTCATTATTTCATCAATTGTGAAGTTGAACAAGAATGGAGAGATTGAACATGCTTGTTTGACACCAATTTTTGTAGGGAGGCTTTTGGGGAGCTCACCAGGTGATACAAAAGTTCAGATTGGCCGACTAAGTCCTAATGAAGCTCAGTGCACAGAATGGGAGACGAGTTCGTCAATCATGTGCTGAACATCATTTGTTTCTAGATCGCACAAACTCTCAACGCAAGCGCACAAATCGTGTGAATTGGAGGCCACCAACTGCAAATCAGTCGTGAAGTAAAGTGGACTATGTGGCGATCAGTTACCGATGTACGTCCTCGATAGAAGATTGTTATTCATTATGGAATCAACATACGGCACTGTGCCAGGCACGTGTATCTATTCGCTTTAATTCTGAAACGTGCTGGTTGATGCAAAGCCATTCAGTTCCCCACCCATAAAGCGATTATGTAGCTCAATAATATCGAGGGGACTTGGCTGACAAACTCCCAGAACTCGATGAGAACAATGGTAAATTGGATGATCACTGCAGAAAGATAAAGGAGAGCGTGATCACAGCTTTTGAAACCATCTACCCAAAGTCCCTTGCACACCATAATGAAAACAAGCTTTCGCCACGATCAGCAACTTCAGTTGAAGCCAGGAAACCCACACCAGCACCGAAAGAATGTAATGGCGCCCGCACACCCATCAAAACGCCGATTACTGGAAAGCCCAAAGATTAACAGGGAGTGCTGGTGGACTGAAAACCCCCCAGAAATGAAACCTTTCTGCAATAAAGAACGATCGCACTCTGTTACAGGTAATCCTATCGACTCGTCCGAGGGTGGGTGTTAGTTCGATGATCTCCGAAAATGATGGGATCTCAGTCAATTCGCAGAAACGTCTTGAAAAACAACTCAGCTGAGCCCCATTAACTCAGCCCTCGGAAGGACCAACTGTACCCAAGTGACACGCCGACATCAGCCCAACATCGTCGACGGAATCTCATTGCTCCAGTGCAACAAAGTACTTGGTCCACACGAACTGCACCCTGCACCCCTTAAAGAAGGCGACGATGTCATCGTAGCTAACCTAGCGACTCTAGGGGAAAACGACACCATGACTATCATCACCAGCATAATATCAGTGTTGCATATTGATGTTACGCAGCCGTACAACCACGATTTAGTTGAAGTACCCACTATGGACAAAAGAATAAAAGTAAACGGGGAAGGAATTTGGTGCTAGGTACGAACGTATAACTCTCCACAACGTTGAGTGCCTGTCCTTGGATTTTAAGTGATGCGTTCAGTGGTCACCATGCTTTGATTTTTATGGATCCCATGACCGGGAAACAATCGCCTTTTAGTACGACTGGCTGGCCGACCCGACAATCAAAATTTTAACTAGGTAGAGAACACCGCTAAGAAACTTGTGACTGGTTACAATGGTCAGAGTAGGAGATAAAAAACGACATTGCAGGGCACAATGTTAAACCACAAAGACAATACCATTACACTTCAGCAGCAATTAAACTCACGTGCGTGTTTAACCGATAGGACATGAGTTCAAATTCCCCATCAGGTGGGATGAACGATATTGTTCGGTCGTTTTCGAATCGAGAGAGACGGACACACTGGTGAAATTTCACGTCCTCCAGCTCAACTGCTTTTCCTCGCCCACCTAAATATTACGGAAAGTATGACCGGTTTCCCGAGAGACAAGCCACAAATAGGCTTTTAGGTAGACTTACGACCCATATTCTCGAACCTCAGTTTATCGTTTAAACCAAGGCGAAGTTCTGGCATGCCGGATAGATACACACGTAATTTAATGCTTCCTACGATTTCGCTTCGCAGGACGACTCCAGTAGAACTGACCTAAATAAGGCATCAATATCATCGAAATAAAAATCTACGAGAAGGTTGACGGATTCAACAACATCCAGAAAAACTTCGTTTTTCCTATATTTCAGGTTTTCTGAGCGCCAAGACACGGCGTTTGTGACAGCCATTGGGGGTCTTGGGGCTGCTTCAAGCTTGTGGCTCTGCTGAGTGATGTATTCCTGGAGTATCTTTGTATCCGTCGTTTGCGGATAACCGAAATCCATGATTTCATCCAAAAGCTCATACGTGATTACGAAGTTGTCACGTATACTTTCCTCCTCGAATTCGCCGAAGTATTCCATGAAAATCTACAACTCATATAGTGATGAAGGGGGCTTACGTTAACTAATTTATACAGGAATGAAAGTACCATTGCTATGTTGGCATTCCTACGCGTCAGGCATACCAAGTATAAGTAATTGAATTTGACGTAGGTGAATGTTATTTCTCCTAGCTGTAAGACGGGGACCAAATTGCCCTCATCCTCCCGCTCCATCGCAATTGGGAGGAACTTTTCAATAGCATTACTTTCTACATCACCTCGGTAGTTCCGGTGTATCAAAACTTTCCCCTTATTATCCAGAATAAAAAGTCCGGAGACAACCATTACGAGACGCCGTGGATTTTGAAAACGGCGCTAATGATCCGCATGTTTAGGTTCACTTCGCAGATCCACGGATTCGTGGATTGACACACAGGATTGAAGCTTTCTCCCAAGTTTCCCCAGTCGATTTTGTTCTTGTCATTCAGAGGCTGCCGTAGACCTGAGGGGTACAAGTGAAAAATGGTGTAGCACTGCTCTTTATGTTATGGACCTCGCTCGAAAAAACAAAAACGTACTGTTCAAGTACATGAGACATCGCCGCAGAAACAAGCCATCCACGTTCTCCTTGAGGGACAGAAACGGAGAACCGACAAATGACCCAACAGTGTTATCTGAGGCTTACAGAGAACACTATGCGTGTCTATACTCAGCCCCAACGTCCTCGTCACATCCACTCTTGTCAAGGAGAAACTACGAACAGCCTCTAACCGACTTGGTCTTCACGGTGGA